ATCTTCACATTGGGCGCCGCCATTTTGCGACTCCCCGCGCAGGCGCCGACGCCGCCATTTTAAGGGCGGGCGCGGCCGCCGGCGGCCATATTGTCTGTGGGCGCGGGTGCTTCCCCCCCCTTCACCCGGAAGCGGAAAGAGGATAAGATTTTCCCCCCCCATTTCCGGCTGTGGCGAGGCCAGTCGCGGATCTTTTCTTCGGGGGGGCAGCGGCCGTGACAAAGGGGCGATGGTGAGGGAGTTCCCCACCCCCTGGGTCCCTTTAGGGGGGGTTCCCGACCCCTGGGTCGCTTTCGGGGGGTTCCCGATCCCTGGGTCGCTTGAGGGGGGGGTCTCGGGCGCTGGGGTCCTCCTTGGACTCCTGGGTTCCCCCCTCCCCCCCCCGGAGGCCCCGATATATGTGTGTGTGCGTGTGTCTCCCTTCCACAGGATAGCGAGTTCTCGGACGCGGAGGCGGGCCCGGGCGGGGAGGAGAACGCTCCCGTTTACTGCGTGTGCCGCAAACCTGACATCAACTGCTTCATGATGTGAGTGCCGGACGTCTGGGTACCCCCCCCAGGACGCCTGGGTCCTTTCCTGGGACGCCTGGGTCTTTTCCTAGGATGCCTGGGTCCCCCGGCTAGACCCCTGGGTACCCTCCCTGGACACCTGAGTTCCTTTAGGGTGGTGGGTGGTGGGGTCCAGACACACCCCCATTCCTGGGTCCCTTCTTATGGGGCTTCCCTGGATGCCTGGGTCCGTTCCTGGGATGCCCGGGTCCCCCTGCCGGACACCTGGGTCCCTTAGGATGGAGAATGGGAGCGTCCTGTATGCCGCGATCCCTTGTCTGAGGCTCTCCCTTTCTCCGTAGTGGGTGCGATAACTGCAATGAGTGGTTCCATGGCGACTGCATCAACATCACCGAGAAGATGGCCAAGGCAATCCGGGAGTGGTACTGTCTGCAGTGCCGGGGTGAGCCTGTATGCCTGGGTCCTGGTTTTGGGGGGGCCTCCAGACAGTGGTGTCCCTTTTTAGGGGAGCCAGGATACTTGGGTCCCTTTTTGGGGGTTTCTGGACACATGGGTACCTCTTGTGGGGAGGGTTTGGGAGGCCTGTGTTGAGCTTTAGAGAGAGAAATAGTGGGCCTGGGTGGCTTTTAGGGGAGTCCTGGATGCCTGGATCCCCTTTTGGGGGACAGGGGTGGGTGTTGGGGTCTCTTTATGGGGGGACTGGACACCTGGGTCTCCTTTTAGCAGGGGGTTGGGGTGTCTGGGTTGGGATTGAGGAGGGGGAAATAAGGGTCCTGGATGCCTGGGTCCCTTTTTGAGAGGTCCCTTTTTGCCCTGGAAGCCTGGGTTGCTTGGCGAGGGAGATCCCAGAACCAGAGGTGAGACTTGGGGTGGGAGGAGGGGGTCTGTCCTGGATGCCGGCATCCCCCTGACCCCTCCCCTTCCCCCTTTCAGAGAAGGACCCCACCTTAGAAATCCGTTACCGGCACAAAAAATGGCGGGAGAAAGAGCGAGAGCACGAGAGCGTCAAGGCCCAGGAGCTGGCACTGGAGCAAGGACGGGCAGCCAAGGTGGGACCCAGGGGCCTGGGAAGGGACCCAGGGGTCCAGGAGGCGATCCAGACGTTTGGAGAGGCATTGGGAGGGGGCGTGGGATGATGTGAGTGGGGAGCTGGCCCCCTGGGTCCTCCCCCCCCACCCCAGACACTCAGGTCCCCCCTTTCTCCGCAGATCAAGCGATCGGCACGCATGTGCGGGGAGTGCGAGGCATGCCGGCGCCCCGAGGACTGCGGGCAGTGTGATTTTTGCCGTGACATGAAGAAATTCGGGGGTCCCAACAAGATCCGCCAGAAGTGCCGCTTGCGGCAGTGCCAGCTGCGTGCCCGAGTGAGTCACGGGGCTTTGGCGTGGTCTTAGCATGTTGTTAGCGTGGGTTTGGTGTGGGCTTGGTGTGGTTTTAGTGTAGGATTAGAGAGTGTTTTATGTGGTGTTAGTGTGTGCTTGAGGTGTTCTTAATATGGCTTTAGTGTGTACTTAGCATGTTTTTAGTGTGTGCTTGGCATGGTGCAAGTGTGTGCTTAGCATGCGTTTGGCATAACCTTAATGAGGGATTGAGTGCATTGTGCGTTGTTAGCATGTGCTTGGCGTGGCTTTAGTGTGGCCTTAGTGTATGTTTAGTATGGCTTTAGCATGTTGTTAGCATGGCCTTAGTGTGTTGTGCATTTAGTGTGTTACTGTGGTGTTAGCGTGTCCTTAGTGTGGTGTGGTGTTGTGTTGGTGTGTTATTGTGGCCTTAATGTGATGGTCATAGTGCATTAGTATGTCCTTAGGATCAGCTTAACATGTCCTTGAAATGTTGTTAGCATGATCTTTGTCCATGTTTAGTGTTATCTGTGTTCTTAGCATGTTGCTACCATGTATTTGTCATGGCCTTACTGTGTGGTTCATATGTTTGTGTGGTCTTAGTGTGTTGTTAGTGGGTGCGGGGGTTTTGGTGTGGTTTTGGGGGGTGCATGGTCGTGGCATGGTGGGGGCAGTGTTGGGGTGGCCCCAGTGTGTCCCCAGTGTGTCCCCATGTAACCTTCTCACGTATCCCTAGTGTGTTTCTGTGTCCCTGACACGTCCCTCACGTGTTTCTGTCTCAGTTTCTCTTGTGTCCCTGTTTCACGCTGTGTCATGTCTATGACATGTCTCTGTGTCCCTATGTCACCTGTTACTGGCATGTCCCCAACGTGTTCTCTTGTCTGTGACGTGTCGCTATGTCACTTTATCCTGCCTCCCTGCGGTGTCCTCGTGTCACCCTGTTGTGTTCCTGATACATCACATGTCCCTAGTGTGTTACCCTGTTTTTATTTCTGACATGTTCCCAACGTGTGCCCATGTCCCTGACACCCCATCCTGTGTCGCCAACGTGTCCCATGTTCCTGACATGTCCCTGTGTCCCCATCCCGAGTCCCCCACATGCCCCCAATGTTTCCAGTGTCCCTGTGTCACCCTGTGCCGTGTCCCCCACGTGTTCTATGTCCCTGACGTTTCCCTAACACGTCCTTGACATGTCCGCCCATCCCCAACATGTCCTTGACGTGTGGCCCCCCGTCTCCAGGAGTCCTACAAATACTTCCCCACTTCGGTGAGTCACCTGGACGCCTCGGTCCCTTCTGGGTGGGAAGGGGGGGTCTGGATACATGGGTCCCTTTGGGAAGGGGGGGGGGTTGTGCATGGGTCCCAGATGCCTGGGTCCCCTCTGAGTCTGT